GATTCTTTAACAAATTTGTATCCGTTATCTTATTTCCTCAACTGAGTATCTGAATTCTCCTTAAGGGAAATATACTATTGTGCTTTCTCTTGTACCCTCCCTTCTTTCCTCCAGTCTTAAGCATAGTTGTAAACACACAGTAGGTGTTAAACGTTTATTTAAATGCACGAGGGATTGAAAAAATAAATACAGGGAGATTTAAAGGATATGATTCAGTACTAGGGTGCTGAAAGGACAGCTCCTCTAAAAACCTCTGCAGGGAAGGGAAAGCAATAACTTCTCTTTGGGTAGAACACAAAAATCTCAGGTTCTTGCTATTTAGTTAAGAAAATATTATGACCAGACTCCAAGAAAAGTATAGAACACAGCCTTCAAACAGATAAAAGGCAGAACCCAGGAAGAAGGGAGGGAGGAGGGACCTTTCTTTCCTTTCCTGCTCAGTCCCTTGGGACAGGAACTAAGGAACTAGAGCTTCAGTTGCAGCAGAGTCTGTGGGGCTCTCCTTCTCTTCCCTACTCGAGTCAAGACCTGGTTTTAAGTAACCATCAGGTCAAGCTGCATTCAGCACATTTTTCAGTTTCTGTGGAAGGATACTTCCAGGAATAAATCCTTATTCCTTCCTTTTTTTTTTTGAGACAGAGTCTCTCTGTCACCCAGGCTGGAGTGCAGTGGCACAATCTCCGCTCACCGAAACCTCCTGGGTTCAAGTGATTCTCCTGCCTCAGCCCCCTGAATAGCTGGGATTACAGGTATGTACCACCATGCCCAGCTAGTTTTTATATTTTTAGTAGAGACAGGATTTCACCATGTTAGGCTGATCTCAAACTCCTAACCTCATCATCTGCCCACCTCAGCCTCCCAAAGTGCTGAGATCAAAGGTATGAGCCACCGTGCCCAGCCTATTCCTTCCATTTTTAAAGTCAAAATGTTATTCCCTCTCAATCATATGCTTGGAAACTGAATGTTTAGGCACATTTTGGTGGGTTTTGAGTAAGTGAATGGCATACACTTCACTCGAAAATCTTAAGTGCATCTGAAAATATGTCCTCCTATTTCTAGTGGATGTAGATAATAAAAAGTTAAAACTAATAACCTTAATGTATACCCTGTGTAAAAACAGAAACAACTCTCTTGTAAGAGAAACTTTCATATAATACCTAAGATTATATCTCCCAAGACAATGAGTTTGGAACTGTACATTTTTCATCTTTCACTATAATAAAGAACATGGGTGAGCTCCTGGGTTATTTATAGTTGTCATTCATAGACAGTTAAACTCTAACAGGTACCTACAATGGAGGAGATTAAAGCACTATATGAATATAAAATGATTTATAGTATCATTTTTATATCTTTTCTTTGTCATGATATTTGGTAATTTCCCCTTCTGTTTTGAATAGTTTGAGGCCAGGCATAGTGGCTTATGCCTGTAATCCCAATACTTTGGGAGGCTGAGGTGGGAGGACTGACTGAAGCCAAGAGTTCAAAACCAGACTGGGCAACAAAGCAAGACCTCATCTCTATAAAATATAAATGAATAAAAATAATCGGCTGGGCCTCTGGTCTCAGCTTCTTTGGGAGGCTGAGGTGGGAGGATCTCTTGAGCCCAGGAGTTTGAGGTTGCAGTGAGCTTTGATCACGCAGCTGCAATTCAGCCTGGGCAACAGAGTAAGACCCTGTCTCTCAAAATTAAAAAAAAAAAAAAGTTTTCAAATGAAGTTTGAAGGTAAATTCTCACTTTAAGAAGCAATAATATGAAACTAAAGCTGAACACTATTACTTGACTTAATGTCTTCTACTCATGGTCCAGAATGTAATGTCACAACACATGCTCAGAGGGGAAGTTCAAAAGGGTAACTCTGGGGATGAGGTGTCAGTGGCTCAATTTCATTCTAAGTCTTTGGAGACAGGGTTTGTCAATTATCTTCACTTTCTGAGTGACACAAACTGATCTGGTAGAGCACACAGATGAGAGAGAAGCACCAATCAGTAACAGCCCATGTTCATCTTCTGATGAACCAAGGCACTGCATCTTCACCAAGGCACTGCATCTTCACCAAGGCACTGCACTGAAGTTTTATATTTACATCATTAATCTCCCTCACCTATCTTATAAGCACCTCCTCATCTTATCACTTCTTTATGTCCTGGTGTTTAACATAGTATACAGTATCTATCATTCACTAGGTACTCAATAATTAGTTTTTGACTGAAATTAAATTTTCGGAATTATCAGAAATTAATTACAGTCAAAATCAGAACTCCTAGCGAGGCCAAATAAAAGAGCATACCAGGTCTTTCAAATACCATATTCTTCAAGTCAATTCTTACCATTAGAACAAGTTATTTCCTACTTTCTCAACATTTGGGTTCCAGATTTAGGAATCCACTCTTTCCAAGGTAACCTGTATGACAATGAAGATAAGTCCTGGCCACCTAATGAAGAAGTATCACACTGTTGCCATGTGTGGCTCTGTGGACAGTTTTTCAGCCTAAGTCATACTCACTCCTGACTGCTCTGGTACCCAGAGCACAAGATATTAAAGAAACTGAGTTCCTGATCATGAACCTCACCTAGCTCTTCTACTCTGACATTAGCTGTCCCAGAAAACAAAATCACAAAACTACACCCACAGAATCAAAATCTGACTTATGTTTAAAATGACACTATGTTTTCTAATATGCCAGGCTATTCATATTTCTTCCAATATATAACCAAGTTCATTTTCAACACTATTTCAAAACACTATGCCAGGATGCTTAGCCTTCAGCCTACCAAACTCGTGCCAAAAAGATGTAGTGCCCGGAAACAACTTAAAGTAATTTGCTACCTCTAGGCATGTTAAAGATCAACATGAAGAAATATGAAGTTTTCAACTGAATGAGGGAGAGGGGAACGTAAAGATTTGAACATCAATTTGATAGTCAAAACACCGACAGAAAAAGAACAGCTGAAAAACAAGTGAAGAGGCTATGATTTTGATATTACATGCTAGTTTAAAAAAAAAAAATCTTAAGATAGGCCAGACACTTTGGCTCATGCCTGTAATCCAACACTTTAGGAGGCTGAGGCTTGTGGATCACTTGAGGTCAGGAGTTCATGATCAGCCTGGCCAACATGGTGCACCCCATCTCTACTAAAAATACAAAAATTAGCTGGACATGGTGGCAGCTGCCTGTAATCGCAGCTACTCAGGAGGCTGAGGCAGGAGAATTGCTTGAACCTGGGAGGCAGGGGTTGCAGTGAGCTGAGATTGCGTCACTGCACTCCAGCCTGGGTGACAGAGCGAGACTCCATCTCAAAAAAAAGAAAAACGCACACATCTTAAGATAAAGAAACACAACTGTGAGGTAAAAAATAGGGCCAGAAACGTAATTGTTACAAAGGAAATTTTAAAACTACATAAAGTTGGTCCTTGCTAATGACATTTTAAAAAATCAACTAAGATGAAAGTATACAAAATAAGGAATAAACAGTAATTAATATGTATTAACAATACCTTTTTAAAAGATAAGAGATTATGGAAACTCTCAAATACAAAATAGTGTAAACTGCACTAAAGAGATATTTACATGTTTTTTTCTGAAACAACCTAGTATGATTAAGGGATTCTAATGACAACTTAACTCCCTTATAAAAACAGATCTGATTACAGGGTATGAAATACGGGGCTCCTGGAAAATTGACGGAAATCAGGACACTGGAAGAAAGGCCCTGGGAGAGACCCCTGAGCATGGTCCCCCTGAGATTTGACCAGTTCCAAATAAGGGCAAGGATCTAGGGTGAGAAGAAAGGAGAAAATGTATTTCCCGAACAGCCTCACTGTCAAGGGTCTGGGATACTGCCACTGTACCTTGCAATCCTGATCTCCCATGGGGGAACTACATACTTTTCCCTCTCTGATCATCACTTGTCCCACCCCCACTCCAGACACACACATCCCTCAGCACATTAAATCAGTGAGACTCCTAAAGGTACAACTTCTGAGATACAAGGATTAGGGTCCAAGAAATCAACCCGACATTTTACAGGCACTTGAGCCTTGAGTTCACACAGGCTTCCGGGACTGGTGAGTCGGCCCAGCCCTGCAGGAGACACCCCCATCTCTTTAAAAGCAAATGCCTTTAAGGGGCGGGGACAGGCATTAGAAGAGGTGGTGGCAAGGTCCCAGATTTGGCGACCAAGGCTAGGACCCTAACCACTAGCTCGCCGGGAACACTTACAGATTGGGAATGGGGGTGGGGGGGGAGGGGGGGAGGTAACAGAAGAAGGGACTGGGAAACAGACAGATTCTCGGGCTGGGACTTCAGAAAGTGGAAATCGAGAGCCACTGCTGCGGTGCCAAATTAAGGTGAAGAAGCCCAAGTGCCTGAGGAGTGGGCAGGCCCTGAGGCGTCTCGAGTGCACCAAGCGAAGCCCGAGCTGCCCGAGCGCTGGCGCCACCCACACCCGGGTCAATCGTGCCTCTACCCACCCCAATTCTAGCCCTCGCGGAGGGCTCCCCTCCTGCCAGACAGCGCCCCCCCCACCCCGCCCCCGGCCTCCGTCATTCCCCCTCCCCGCCCGGCTCCCGGGCCCCGCCTTCGCCTTACACTGAATGGGCGGGTAGCAACTGGGGTCCTCGCCACCGGGCTGGCAGCGGCTGGAGAAGGCGCTGCGCGGGGTCACGTAGTTGCTGGGGAAGATGCCCACCCGCTGGTTCAGCTGCCCGGTCCACCATCCCTCGTCGCCGGACACCTGCGAGTCCTTGGACAGCACCTCCACCACGTCGCCCAGCCTCAGGGTCAGCTCGTCCTCGCCCGCCGCCTCGTACTCGAACACGGCAGTCCAGTAGGGCAGCGGCGCGTCGCAGCCCATCTCCCCGGGGCCCGCCGCTGCCGCCGCCGCCTCCTCCTCCTCCTCCTCCTCCTCCTCGGCCCCGGCCCCGGCTCCATCCTCCCCCGGCGGGGCGGCAGCGGCGGCGCTCGTCAGGCAGCCGAGAAGCGCTCTGGAGGGCTCCATGGAGCGGCCGATCCATAGGGTGCGGGGCCGCCGCCGCCCGCAGGAGCCGCCGCCGCCTATTGTTCATGCGCCTCCGCAGAGCTGGGAGGAACCCCCCCGACGGCGGCCGCAGGTAGGGCCCGAGCTAGCCGGGCTAGGACAGCCGGCTCGCCGGGGCTGTGGCAGCGGTTCGAGGAGAGCGCCGAGCCCGAGCGCCCCGCGCAGCCCAGGGGCGCGGCGGGCCGAGTCCCCCACTGCCCGCTCGCCCCCGGGGGGCGGCCTCGCCACCTCCGCCGCCGGTACCTGCTCGCGCAGCCGGTGCCCACCGCCGCCCGCCGGCCGCCGCTCTTCACTCGGAGCCGCGCTGCGCCGCGCCCCGCCCCCCGCGCCGCCCGCTCGCCGGGACCACCTGACGCGGGCCTGGCTCCGCCCAAGCCCTGCGGACCCGAAGGGGGCCCGCCCCGCGCCTGCCCCGCCCCGCGCCCGCCGCCTTCCTATTGGCTGCGGCAACCCCGTCCCCGGTTCCTCCGCAGTGGTTGGGGCAGCCTCGCAGGTCCCTCTCACTCCCTGCGCCGCCGCCGCCGCACCGTGCCCGCCCCCTTTGCGGGCTCTCTCATTCCCAAACCCAGGTCGACCCACTCCTCCTGCCCACTGGCCCGCCGCAGCTCCCACCATTGGCCCGCGGCACCTGTCCGTTTCCTGGGAGAGTTCAGCACCTCCCGGCAGGAAGAGGCTCCGGCCTCATTGGGTGCGTGAGGAGGGAAGGGTGGATCCTAAAAGGTAATACTGAGCCTTCATTCCGACTAAAAAGGCTGGAAAGGAGGCCGCTGCCTTTGTTTGTGATGGATGGGTAGGGGCTGCACTGGGCAGCACCGGTATTCTCCATCCTAAAGGGGCTTCTGAAAGTAGGCACAGGGAAAGCGAGCTGGGCTGCACACCCAACAGAGCTCTTCCTTCCCCAGATCCCTTTTACAGTTAGTTGGATTCTCCCCTCTCATGGATCTGGCTCTGCCCTAGTCCAACCTAGAGGGCCACTCTCGCCCGGAACCTTTCATCTCCTTTTAGGCCCAGTGGGATGTTCATTAGAAGAACTCTGAACACTACAGTTCTTCCCCCTCCCTTTTTTTTTTTTTTGTGAGTCTGAAAGTTCTTCCCTTTATGAAGACTGCACCACAGCTCGCCCTCTCCTGGATTCCTATAGGAAGAGATCCAATGCCACTCTTTTTTTAGAATTCAGAAAGAGAGGAGACCACCTTACTGGGTTTCAAACTGGGGCTGGGAACGATGCCATGAATTGGGCTTGGTCTGTCTGAAGGGAGCCAACTTTTCGGCAATCCTTAGGCTTCTTATTTATTTATTTATTTTGTAAAGACGGGGTTTCACCATGTTGGCCAGGCTGGTCTTGAACTCCTGACCTCGGGCGATCCACCCACCTAGGCCTCCCAAAGTGCTAGGATTACAGGCATGATCCACCGCACCTGGCTCCTTAGGCTTCTTTTGCCTGGTGGAATTACATCTTGGATCGTGGTGAAATCTGTAGAGGTCAGATTAAGAAGAACCAAAGCAAAATAAACTCAGAAGCCGATGATGAGTTCATGAGTGAGAACGACCTCTTCCTATGTGCCTTTGCTATACCCCGTGTTTTGAACATTAAGAAAGAGATAGGAGGTCCATAATGTTTCTTCTTGCTTTAATCCTATCATACCAACGTTGACTTCCAGTTAGGTTCTCTGATACTGCTTTGTTTCTTTTTTCTTTTTAAGACAGGGTCTCACTTTGTTGCCCAGGCTGGAATGCAGTGGCGCAATCTCGGCTCACTGCAGCCTCATCATCCCAGGCTCAAGTGATCCTCCTACCTCACCCTCCCTAGTAGCTGGGAGTACAGACACGTGCCACCACACCTGGCTAATTTTGTTTATTTTTTTGTAGAGACAGGGTCTCACTGTTGCCCAGGCTTGTCTTGAACTCTGGGCTCAAGTGATCCACCCGCCTCAGCTTCCCAAAGTGTTAGGATTACAGGCCTGGGCCACTTCACCTAGCCCTCTGAAATTTCTAAATAAGCCAGTGCTGAAAGATCTACCAAACTTTGTTACCTTTTCTCCTTCAGTGGTAGGAATAGACATTATTTATTTAGCAAGGGTGAGTGCTTTTGTTGAATTTTAGTTTGGGGTTTATTATTACACAAACTAAAGACAGTGGGGCAGTTTGCAAAGGTAACTAGGCAGCTGCGTGACTTTGGGCACGCAGCTAACACTGTACTCCTAAAGTGAAGGGTGTGAACTGGAAGACATCCTATGTCCTTATAGGTCAGACATTCTGTGGTTTGCTCATCAATATGACTACACTGTATAGTCAGAGCACACATTTGAGGTCTTCAAGAAGAGAGATGAGGCTTGTTCTAAAAAGCATGCAGAGTAGGTCTTGAGAAACGATTTCTATTTAAGTAAAGGCCCTAAAACAATGCTCAGGTTTTTATTAAATATAGGATCTGTGACCTGGAAAAGATATAGGTGAGTCTGAATAAATTCTCTAGGATTTGTTTTAGACAAAACCATTCCACCCTCAAGCAAAAGAGAGCAAAGAAGTAGGGGTGGAGGTATTTTGTGTTTTTTTTTAAAGGCCATAAAAAAAATTGTCTTGATAAAATTTTAAGTTGGGGCTGGGTATGGTGGCTTGTGCCTGAAATCTTAGCAGTTTGGGAGGCTGAAGCAGGAGGATCACTTGAGCACAGGAAGGAGACCAGCCTGAGCAACATGGCAAGACCCCCATCTCTATGAAAAATTTTCTTGGGGATGTAAGCCTGTAATCCCAGCTACTCAAGAGGCTGAGGAAGGAAGATTGCTTGAGCCTAGGAGGGCAAGGCTATAGTGAACAGTGTTCGATGCACCATACTTGAGACAAAGCAAGACCCTGTCTCAAAAAAAAAATGTTTTTTTAACTTGAGGGAAAAAAAGTTTTACAAACTGACTGTAGACACACAGCAAAACAGAAACAGGAAAAAAAAGTACTAAACAGAGAAAAATGTCAGTGGCGGGTCTCTAAGTTAGTGGGATTATGAGTACTTGGGTAACTTTATTGTCATTTTGCTTCTCCATTATTTTGTATTTCTACTATTTAGTTTCGTGAATTTCTTCCCTCTCCCTGGGAAGAGGGGAAGAGAGGAGAAAAATCATTGATCCTTCTCAATAGGAAAACTCTAATTCCCTGCACAACTTAATTCTTTAATACCATAGCATGTGTTTAGAATCTCATGAAGAGTCATTCATCAAACATTTCAACAAGTCATTCAGTTAATATTTGTTGAATGGATAAGTGCTAGGAATTCAAATGAGGGTAGATCTTCAGACTACACTTGTCTGGCAGGGCTGCATGGAAGAAGCAGAACCAGAACTGATCCTGAGGAGGCATGAGGTGGAGCAGGGAAGAGTGTGTTCAGGAAAGGAGGGTGGGAATGGGCACAGCCACAGAAGTAGGAAAGCATGGAAAGGGCGGCCATTTGGATGGAATGAAAGGATGAAAAAGAACTCTGAAAAGATAGGTTGAGACCAGATTGTAGAGGGCCCTATAATTACTTGATTCACACTAGTAATTATGTAATTGATTATTTGTAATTATTTAATGTCAGTGCATTCACCATAAGGGCAGGAACCAGTCTGCCTGGTTCTCCACAGCATTCCCAGCACCTAGAGAGTGCTTAGTACATAATTGACTCTCAGTACGTACTTATTTGCAACTGGATGACTGACTTGAATCCTAGGCTAAGAAGCCTTGGTTTTGTTCAGCATATAAAAGGTTATCACTGAAAAGTTTTGTGTAGGGCTGAGAAGTGATCAAATATTGCCTTCCCTGAGGACTAGAATGGATGAGGACAGACAGATGCTTAAGCTGGTCTTTGAAAGATATATAAAACTTGATTAATAGAGAATAGAAGATGTGGAAATAGAAATTAATGTAATGGGCTGGGCATGTTGGCTCACACCTGTAATCCCAGCACTTTGGGAGGCCAAGGCAGGCAGATCACTTGAGGTCAGGAGTTCAAGACCAGCCTGATCAACATGGAGAAACCCCATCTCTACTAAAAATACAAAATTAGCTGGGTGTGGTGGTGCATGCCTGTAATTCCAGCTACCCAGGAGGCTGAGGCAGGAGAATTGCTTGAACCCGGGAGGTGCCGGTTGTGGTGAGCTGAGATCATGCCATTGCACTCCAGCGTGGGCAACAAAAGCAAAACTTTGTCTCAAAAAGAAAAACAAAAAAAGAAAGAAAGAAATTAATGTAATGAGTAGCAATAATAGAAATTTCAGCCAGAGAAGAGGAGAGAATGCAAAAAAAAGGGAGTGATGGGATATAAAAGTGATGAAATAAAAGAAGGGCTGATTGTAAAAGACTTTGAAAGTCAAGTGGAATTACCAAGATTTTACCACTATGAAGATCTTGAGGCAGGGCTTGGGAGATGTCACCCAAAAAATGAAACATTTTCTCTACCACACTGAAAAATATAGTGTAAGGTAGGGAAAAAATAGCAATCCATGATGCAAGTTGGCATTAGACTTAAATAAACAGATTATGGTTTATCCTGGCTTTGTCCTCTAAAAATGCTATGACTTTGGGCAAGCCACCTGTTTGAGCCTCAGTCTCCTCATTTTTAAGTAGGTGTAATAATAAAACCTGGTTTTAATGGGTGTTGATAGGATTAAATGAGACAGGACATGCAGAAGCTCTTAGCATGCTGCTCACACCCAGCCAATAGTCAACATATTTTTTTCCTTCTTTCACCTGCCCATTACCCCCTAGAAATACCCTTTAATTATACCCAGGCCTCTTGACTGGAAGTTGAACCCAGGGTTTTCCCTAAAGGAAAGAGAGAGAAGGGGAAAAAAAGGAACAGAGGCCTCTGGGAGGCCGAAGTGGGTAGATCACTTGAGCTGAGGAGTTCAAGACCAGCCTGGGCAACATGGTGAAACCCCATCTCTACAAAATAGAAAAATTAGCCAGGCATGGTGGTGCCTGTGGTCCTAGCTTTTGGGAGGCTGAGATGGGAGGATCACTTGAGCAGAGATGTGGAGGCTATAAGTCAAGATTGCTCCACTGCGTTCCAGCTTGGGTGACAAAGCAAAACCCTCTCTCTCTCTCAAACAAAAGGGGTGGGGGACAGAAAAAGGAGAGGAGAGGAAAGGGTGAAGGAAGGAGGGAAGACAGGAAGGGAGGGAAAGAAAGAAAGGAAAAAAAAGAGAAACAGGAAGGAAAAGGAATTAGGGAGGGGAGGGGAGGGAAGGGGTTGGGTCGTAGACTAAAGAAGAGTTTGGAAGGCCAGGTGCGGAGACTCACTCCTATAATCCCAGCACTTTGGGAGGCCAAGGCAGGTGGATCACGAGGTCAAGAGATCGAGACCATCCTGGTCAACAAGGTGAAATCCCGTGTCTACTAAAAACACAAAAAAATTAGCTGGGCATGGTGATGTGCGCCTGTAGTCCCAGCTACTCAGGAGGCTGAGGCAGGAGAATGGCTTGAACCCAGAAGGCAGAGGTTGCGGTGAGCTGAGATCGTGCCATTGCACTCCAGCCTGGGTAACAAGAGCGAAACAGCGTCTCAAAAAAAAAAAAAAAGAAAGAAGAGTTTGGGGTCTAGGCTTCTGACTGAATTTGAATATGCTTACTGTGTGCCATTAGGCAAGTTAACCTCGCTGTGCCCCAGATCCCTCACCTGGAAATTAGAAATAATTGTACCTATAATCCCAGCACTTTGGGAGGCCAAGGTGGGTGGATCACGAGGTCAAAAGATCGAGACCATCCTGGTCTACCAGGTGAAATCCCATCTCTACTAAAAATACAAAAATTAGCTGGGCATGGTGGTGCGTGCCTGTAGTCCCAGCTACTTGGGAGGCTGAGGCAGAAGAATGGCTTGAACTCAGAAGGCGGAGGTTGCAGTGAGCCAAGATCGTGCCATTGCACTCCAGCCTGGGCAACAACAGCAAAACTCCGTCTCAAAAAAAAAAAAAAGAATAATTGTACCTATCTTATACATGTTATGTGCTTAACATACAATCTAGCATACAGTTACTGTTATTATTTGAGCCTAAACTATGACTTAGTTAATGAATATCACCCTTTCCTTGATTCTTTTGGGAAATATTTAAAATGAGTACTTTGATGCTTAAAAAAAAAATCCCTCAAGCAGACTTTTACCTTTTTTTTTTTTAAAGAAACAAGCTCTGTGTCACCTGGGCTGGAGAGCAGTGGTACAATCATAGCTCACTGATCACATAGCAGCCTCAAACTCTTGGACTCAGTGGATCCTCCTGCCTCAGCATCCTGAGTAGCTGGGACTACAGGTGCATGCCACCACACCTGGCTCATTGTATTAATTTTTGGTAGAGACAAGGACTCACTGTGTTGCCCAGGCTGGCTTCGAACTCCTGGCTTCAAGTGATCCTCGTGCCTTCATCTCCTCAAATGCTGGGATTACAGATATGAGCCATCATGCCTGGCCCCTTTGACCTTTTCTACAAGAGCCACCCCACCACTTTCACCTCTGATGTTATACCATTTCAGGAAAGAAGGCCTCATTCCTGATTCATAATCTCCATTTGCATTAAATATGATTTTAAGCAAATGGTGTGGGCAGGTGTGTGGTGGAGCTGATGGAACAGACCTTTGGAATCAGACCCGGGTTTGAGTTCTTGATCAACTTGTCATGACTGTGGGAGGCCTTTCACCTTTCTGAGCCTCAGTTTCATTATTGGTAACACAAGACTGTATAAAATGGGGTTGCTGTGAGGGTGAAATGCAGTAAGAGGTCCTCCTGGCACTACCTAATACATAATCATAAGTGCTTAATAAACTGTAAATGTTATTACAGTTGATTGTATTTTAATTCCTCCATAAGGAATTACGAGTTAATGCAGCTTAAACCACCAAAAAGGTAAGAAATCTTTCTTCTTTTCTTCTTCTATCTCCTAGGAATACCTCAGTTCAGAAAAGCAATAAACTATAGGGGGCTGTATAGAATGTCACATCTCTGGAGAGCAAGTTGCATTTTAACAATGATCAGAGCCTTTAATTAAGGAGTGAAGGTCAAATCATTTCTGCTTCATCCAGCCTGGTTGCAAAGTGAGCCCATGGGACGACCCTCTGAAATTATACTCCTTACAACCATGCTGAATCTGCAAGGACTTCATTTAAAGGCTTTCTGTCAAGGACCTCAAACAGATCCAATCACAAGAAGAGAGATTTCAGGAAAGAGAAAATTACTCCTGTAATTGGGGTTTTTGAAGAACCTGAAATGGCTGGGAAAATAATCATGTTAAGTAGGAAAAAAAAGAAATCTGTTGTAATTTTTAAATAATTTTTAAATAAATTTGAAAAATTAAGATAAAACTATATATAATATATTCCTAATATGAAAAACATATATGCATCAATATTATTAAAATAAATTCATCAAAAGGTGAACAGCAATTATCACCAATCTAGATTATGAGATTAGGAGTGATCTTTTTTTCTTTGTCCTGTACTATTTAGCATTTTCTACCATTAAAATATTCCGATTTTCTAATTAGAAAAGTATGTTAGACGGAGAAGAACAAATATCACATAAATTCCCTTAAGGAATAGATCTTGTGGAATCTAGAAAAGTTGAACTCATAGAAAAAGAAAGGAAAATGGTGCTTACTAGTTAGAAAAATAGAATAAGTTCAAGAGATCTGTTGTAAATGGTGAGTGAAGAGATCTATTGTGAATGGTGATCCATGGGGAATATAGTTAATAACAATATATTTTATACTTTAAAATTGCTAAGATAGTAGATTTTAAGTGTTCTCACCACACAAAAAAATAAGTATGTGAGGCTAAGCATATGGTAATTAGCTTGATTTAACCACTCCACAATGTATACATACATTAAAACATCATGTTGTATACTATATATATACTTTCTGTCAATTTTAAACAGGTTATTTAAAAAAAGTATGTTGATAATCATGAAAAATTTTAATGATGTGGAAATGTGTACAGTATAATGATAAATGAAAGAGTAGTGAAAAAATTATTATAAAATATGATTATACATGTGTTGGGGGATAATATAAACATCTTAACAGTTATTTTTGTCTAAGTGGTGGAGTATGGGTAATTTTTAATGCCTTCTGTATCAGGCTGTTCTTGCATTGCTATAAAGAAATACTTGGCCAGGCGTGGTGGCTCACACCTGTAATCCCAGCACTTTGGGAGGCCAAGGTGGGTGGATCACCGGAGGTCAGGAGTTCAAGACCAGCCTGGCCAACATGGTGAAACCCCCGTCTCTACTAAAAATACAAAAATTAGTCAGGCATGGTGGTGCATGCCTGTAGTCCCAGCTACTTGGGAAGCTGAGGCAGGAGAATCATTTGAACCCAGGAGGCAGAAGTTGCAGTGAGCTGAGATCACGCCACTGCACTGCAGCCTGGGTAATAGACCAAGACTCTGTCTCAAAAAAAAAAAATACCTGAGACAAGGTAATTTATAAAGGTACGAGGTTTAATTGGCTCACGATTCTACAGACTTTCCAGGAAGCATAGCAGCATCTGATTCTAGGGAGGCCTCAGGAAGCTTCCAGTCAAGGCAGAAGACAATGGGGAGCAGGCACATCCTATGGCGAAAGCAGGAACAAGAGAGTGTTCCTAGTGAAAAAGGAAGATGCCACATTTACTTTTAAACAATCAGATTTCTAGAGAACTCACGTATCCAAGGGGATGGTGCTAAACCATTCATGAAAAATCTGCCCCCATGATCAAATTGCCTCCCACCAGGCCCCACCTCCTGCATTGGGGATTACAATTCAACAGGAGATAGGGGTGGGGACAAATGGCCAAACATGTCACTTTCATTTTACTTTATTTTTCCTACAGCAAAAATAACCATATGATATTTGTGAAATTATAATAAAGACCTACGGAATCACTTTTATCTTTTTAAATACGAAATTCAAACTAGAAGCATTATTGTTAGTTGGAGAGATAGTGGAGGAAGGAAAACAGAACCTGAGGATGACACTGCTAATAAGTAACAATAATGACAATGACTCCTGTTAAGGGCTTATTTAGGTTCACAGTCTTTTTATTTACTAGAGGCTTTAACAGCTTTCTCCAAGCAAACTAAAGGTCTTGGAACCCAAACAGTCCCTTTATTTCCCACCTCTCCTACCTCATGGAGGGAAATTCTTGGTTATGTGCAGACAGATATATGGACTAAGTTAGCATGGCCGTGGCACCTCTCACCTGACATAGATTTCTTCAGCTTTTTAAACATTTCGGTCTTTATTTTATTTATTTACTTATATTTTGAGATGGAGTCTCACACTGTAACCCAGGCTTGAGTGCAGTGGTGTGATCTTGGCTCACTGCAACCTCCACCTACCAGGTTGAAGTGATTCTCCTGCCTCAACCTCCCAGGTAGCTGAGATTACAGGCACCCACTACCACGCCCAGCTAATTTTTGTATTTTTAGTAGAGACGGGGTTTCACCATGTTGGCAGGCTGGTCTTGAACTCCTGATCTCAAGCGATTCGCTTGCTTTGGCCTCCCAAAGTGCTGGGATTACAGGCGTGAGCCACTGCTCCTGGCAAACGGTGGCCTTTACATCATATTGGCAAGACTGAGTTCAAACGTAAGCTGTTTTGGTTTTGAGATTTGTGCCTTCTTATCTAAAACAATATCAATTTAAATATTTTTGTTATTTAAACCAATAAGATATGAGGAATGGGCAACCGTCACAGCTGTATGAATAATATATTGCACGGTAGTCGGGGCTGTTTCAAAATGGAGTTGGCATAGCAGTGCCCTCTCAGAGACAAAGGCGGACCATTGCGCCACCGTGTGGTACTGAGGGGTGTGGTGCCTTTTTCCTTTTTTAATGACACCTTTTCTAGTTTATTTCAAGAGCTAGAATAACCTTCATGGTCGCTGGGTGGAGCCCTTTGAATTTGTTTGGCAACTAAGACTCAGGCAAGTGATGCTACTGGGGCTTAACCCAAATCTCAGACCCTTTCTGCTCCCAGCTTTTCAGGTTAACTCAGGGATGTCTGCACATAGCTGGAGGGAAACTGAGAACTGTCTTGTGCAACACTCAATTTCACATTCAAAGAAACTGAAGTGTAGAGTGGATAAGTGACTTGTCAAAAGGTCCACACTAATTTGGGGTCCCTCGTTTTTATTCTACTCGTTCGTTTCCTCACCAAATGTTTATACACGTGTCTACTACGGGTCAGGTGTCAGGAACCGTTCAAGGCACTAGACATAAAATAGTGAACAAAGCAAACAAAAATCCCTTCCTGCAAAAATCCCTTTATCTCCTCCCTTCATAAAGCTCATGTTCTAATATGGGAAACAAACAAAGTGAGCAACTAAAATACACATCAGATTAGAGGGGGGTAAATGCAAAGAAGAAAAAAAGGAAGGGGGATATGAAATGTTAGGAGGGGCTACTTTTTGGAGTGGCCAGAGAAAACCCTGACAAAGTGACTGGTGACTTTTTTTTTTTTTTTTTCAGACGGAGTCTCATTCTGTGGCCCAGGCTGGAGTGCAGTGCCACGATCTCAGCTCACTACAACCTCAGCCTCCCAGGTTCAAATGATTTTCCTTCCTCAGCCTTCCAAGAAGCTGGAACTACAGGTGCATGCCATCATGCCCAGCTAATTTTTGCATTTTTAGTACAGATGGGGTTTCACCATGTTGGACAGGCTGGTCTCAAACTCCTGCCCTCAGGTGATCCGCCTGCCTCGGCCTCTCAAAGTGCTGGGATTACAGGTGTCAGTTATGGCACCTGGCCAACAAGGTGACTTTTGAGTAAGACACCTGGAAGAATTTCGGAAACCAGCCATACAGATATAAGGGAAGAGCATTCCCTTATATCTGTATGCAGGCAAACTGCATGGTAGCGCAAAGGTCCTGAGACAGGAAAATGCCTGTGTATTCAAGAAAAGATAACAAACTCAAGCTACCTCCTGTAGCCCTTACTACTCAAGGGTAGTAACAGCCTGGTGCACTCAAGATTTCAGTAAGCAGAGGAGTGGTGTGGTCTGCCTTTTCAACAGGATCACTGTGGCTACTGGGTTCACAACAGGCTTCAGAAAACCAAGTGCTGGGACTGTGAGAAGAGACTATTCAATAAGCTTGTCAAGGGACAACAGCAAATTAGATAAGGGAAGCAACAAGGGGTATGGTGAAAAGTGGTCAGAATATAGAAATATATTTTGAGAGTAGACCAACCAGGTTTGCTGATGAATTGGAAAGTGGGTAAAAGAAAGAGGAGTCAAGGATGACTTCAAGGGTTTTGGTTTGAGCAACTGCCGTTAGCGGAGAATGTGGGAGAAGCTGGCTGGGGCAAATCACAGCAGTTTTGTTTTGTTCTGTTCTGTTCTGTTTTTTGTTTTTTTTTTTAGATGGAGTTTCGCTGTTATTACCCAGACTGGAGTGCAATGGCACGATCTCCACTCACCGCAACCTCCGCCTCCTGGGTTCAAGCAATTCTCCTGCCTCAGCCTCCCGAGTAGCTGGGACTACAGGCACGCACCACCATGCCCAGCTAATTTTTGTATTTTTAGTAGAGACGGTGTTTCACCTTGTTGACCAGGATGGTCTTGATCTCTTGACCTCGTGATCCACCCGCGTTGGCCTCCCAAAGTGCTAGAATTACAGGCGTGAGCCACCACGCCCAGCCAAATTACAGCAGTTTAATGTTAGACATGATGAGTTGGAGATCACTGTTCTATACCCAAGTAGAGATGTCAAGTGGGCATGATTATATAGGTCTGGTATTCATTCAACAACTGTTAAATGACAACACTTTAATCCCTGAAAACCTTAACTTCGTAAAATGACGAAGAGCGCAATAATGATTAGAAAATATTCAGACTCAAATGATAAAATACTTTTTAACATGTGGCTTTCCAGATTTCTACTCAAAGAGACCTTTTAAACGGCTCTGCCTTACCTAGTTGAAGGCTGTGAATCTTTTGCTCATAGACATGAGACATGAGTCTCCCGACACTGGTAAGACCTTTAAGACAGTTGCCTGTTCTCTAGGTTACTGGATGGGACCCTTGTGAAGTCAGTGGGAGCCCCAGAGAGCAACCTGTTGGGCCGGTGGAACATCAGGGAAACTCTCCAGTGCTTTGTGTTTAATGAAAAGTAGGGGAGATTCCAATCTGAAGACTTCCTGTCCTTGGGTTTTGTTGATGCCCAGGTCAGGCAGCTTCATGATCTGTCTCTTCATTATTTTACACTCCACCCTCTGCCCCTGCTCTGTACGTTGTTCTTTTGGATGGGCACACTCCTTCTTTGGGATGTGGGTGAGGGATGGCAGAGTGACTGAGAGCTTACTGAGTACTAGGCAGTCAGTTCGGTACCAATAGACATTCTCTCTGTTAGTATACGAAGACAAAGGCACTGACCTACCAACTGTAGCACTCACTGTAATCACAGCCAACATTTAAATAGTATTTTAGAATTCAGAAAACACTTTTACAGACAGGTGCCGGTATACTAAGACTACATACAGACTCTGAGGCCAGGCATAGTGACTTACGCCTATAATCCTAATGCTTCATTAGGCCAAAGCAGGGGCATCACTTGAGGACAGGAGTTCAAGACTAGCCTGGGCCACAAAGTGAGTCCCTGTCTCTACAAAAAATTAAAAACTTTGCCCAATATAGTGGTGCACACTCGTGGTCCCAGCTACCAGGAGTTCAAGGTTACAGTGAGCTATGGCATCACTGTGCCACTGCATTTCAATGTGGGAGTGGGAGTAAGACCTTGTCTCTTTAAAAAAAGTTACAGACTGGCCGGGTGCGGTGGCTCCCACCTATAATCCCAGCACTTTCGGAGGCCGAGGCGGGTGGATCACGAGCTCAAGAGATCGAGACCATCCTGGTCAATGAGGTGAAACCCTGTCTCTACTAAAAATACAAAAATTAGCTGGGCATGGTGGTGCCCGCCTGTAGACCCATTTACTCGGCAGGCTGAGGCAGAATTGCTTGAACTCAGAAGGCGGAGGTTGCGTGAGCTGAGATCACGCCATTACACTCCAGTCTGGGTAACAATAGCGAACCTCCATCTCAAAAAAAAAAAAAAAAAAAAAGTTAGACTGTAACCAGATTGCCTGCATTGAATCTCAGTTCTGTCCAGTTCTGCCATGACTCACTGTGTAATTTACTTAGCCTCTCTGTTAAGTCTTAGTTTCTTCAAGTGCAAAATGGGAATTTAAAAAAAATCATAATTACCTCCTAAAGTAGCTTAGAGATTAACTGAGATAATACAGAGGCAGCCCTAGGAGCTGTGCCTAGAACATATTGAACCCTCAATAAGACAGAAGGGATTGTACTACCTGGTCGGGACCTGTTTAGCCCATTTTACTAATAAGGAAACGGATATTATTCAGTGTGGCTAAGACAGTACTAAGGAACAGAAGCCCAAGATCCAATCAGGGATTCCTGCTTCTGACTCCAAAGCTTTTCCCACTCAGAATCCACTTCCTCAGGGAGTGTGGGTTTTATGTTAAACAAGCCGAACTTTCGCACCGGGTCTTCTGGTGTCTCTCTGCTTTGCTTCTGTGAAAGGACAGCTGGGGTTGGAGGGAATAACAGCAAAAAGAAGTGACATTCTTGGGTCCCTCCATCGGTGTGTCGGGCCTGTGCCAAGGACTTCACCTGCCCTTCCCATTCAATCTTCACCAAAAACCTATGCGCTAGGTACTTTGAATTACCACTTCGTATAAAAGCGGGGCGCAGAGCCACTAAGCAAGCAGGGGTGGCGTGTGTCGGAGCCAGAATCTATTTTCGGCTCTCTGATTTACCCACGGAAGGACCTCCCTCCCCACCCCCCACCCCGCCGGGAGCAGCCTATCTTGGTGCAAAATGCACCGAGCTACCGAGGCTGCCTTCCAGGACTCCGCGCGGAAGCTTAGGCTGCCTCGATCCCCTTTCTGGTAACTCCCTCTCAGCTGAGACTCCGGGTCCCCTCCGCCCCCTTTTGCCCCTCTTCGCGGGGACCGGGCGGGCTCTCGGTCGGTGCCCCGGCCCCAGGATCCCCGGCGCTGTGCTCTCCCCAAGAGGAGGTCGGGCCCAGGACGCGCTAGGTCCGCAGCGGGTGTGGAAGGACCCTGGGCTCGGCTCCCACGCTCGGGCCGGCCTCCCGCCCCGGGTCGGAGCTGCGGTCACTGGCGGCTTCGGGGCCGTGGCGTCCCGCGCTCAGCGTCCGCGCCTCTGGAAGGCATTGAGTCGTTTCTTTCCCGTACTGGAGGGACAGTTTCCCAAAGCGGACGCGGGGCTGGCGGCGGGAGGGGGAATAGGGCTGGCGGGGCTGAAGGCTTCACGGGGGCAACCAACGCGCGCGCCTCTCTCCTCTCTCTCCCCGTTCCCTCTCTCTTTCTCTCTCCCGCCACCCCTCGCCCTCCCCTCTCTGTCTCTCCCTCTCTCCCTTAGCTCTCTCTCTCTTCCCCATTCTCTCGCTTTTCCCCCTTTCTCTGTCTCTCCGCTCTTTCCTTTCTCCCCGCCTCCCCTCGCAGTCTCTCGCTCTCTCCCCTCACCCCTCGCTTTCTCTCGCCTTTCCTCTCTCTCTCCCACCTCCCCTACACCGTCCCTCTCAACTCCCCTCTCTCCCCACCTCTTTCTCGCTCGGCCCCCTCTCCTTCCTCCTCCCTCCTCCCTCTCTCCTTCCTTCTTCCCAACTTCTCTTCCCCCCTCTCTCCCTCCCCGCCTCCTTCCCTCCTTCCTTCTTTCTCCCTCCTTCCTCCTCCCTCTCTCCTTCCTACTTCCCAACCTCCCTTCCCCCCTCTCTCCCTCCCCGCCTCCTTCCTTCCTTCCTTCTTCCTCCTTCCTTCCTTCCTTCCCTCCTCCGCTCCCTCCTTCCCTCCTCGCCCCCTCCTCTTAAAGGGAAGGATCCTCTCCTCGGAGCCGCGGCTCAGGCCTGTGCGGGAAACCTTGCCTCTAGGTAGGCAGGCCGCGCCCGCGGATGGGCTGGGCCCAGGGAGCGCGCTTTGCACACTTAAGATGTCTTTGTGGGAAGCTTGGGAGTGGCTAGTTATGAGTGTGCTGCCCTTAATTTAAGCCACCCGTTGTAAATATGTGTTCTAGTGCCTGTTAACGACCCTCCCTCGACCCACTCGCCTCCTGCCACTCCAGTTGCTCCAACCGGGACCCCTTCCCTTCCCTCGGGCCCGCAGCTGTTCCTGTACAGGCGAAGCGATCTGGGTAGCTCAGGAGCTGCCTGTGGGTCTGCATTTGGCCTGTTTCTCTTTCTTCCCGTCGGTCCCACACTCTCCGCTCACTCCTCTCTTTCTGCTCTCACTCTGCGGCTGTGACATTAGATCACTAATAAGCGTAGGTGAGAAGGAGAGGGAAAAGGAAAAGAAAACAGCCATTGAGTCTGATAAACCCTCAACATGTGACACCTGGGTTTCTTCCCATCATTTGCTGGGAAAATAGTGATCCTAGTTCTCAGAAGTCCCCAAACCTCTGGTTTGGATTAGGGGAGAATCGCCGCAGATGCCGAATCCACTAACAGTAGGCCGGGCGCGGTGGCTCAAGCCTGTAATCCCAGCACTTTGGGAGGCCGAGGCGGGTGGATCACGAGGTCAACAGATCGAGACCATCCTGGTCAACATGGTGAAACCCCGTCTCTACTAAAAATACAAAAAATTAGCTGGGCATGGTGGCGCGTGCCTGTAATCCCAGCTACTTAGGAGGCTGAGGCAGGAGAATTGCCTGAACCCAGGAGGCAGAGGTTGCGGTGAGCCGAGATCACGCCATTGCACTCCAGCCTGGGTAACAAGAGCGAAACTCCGTCTCAAAAAAAAAAAAAAAAAAAAAAAAACAGTCGAGGAGCTTATCTTCTTGGAAGCCTTCAGCCTCCCACGCCCACCTCTGCCCCATTCTGTTTGCTTCCTCCCTGTCTCAGCTTCTGCTTCTCTCCTTTTTATAACCTGCTGCTAAGAAAAGTCTGAAAACTTGAATTATAAATAAATAATATCTCCAGTATTGCCTGAAATAGAGATTTGATACTTAAAAGGGAGGAAAGAGGAGAAGCATCTTGAATTCCTGGAGAAGCAGTCCTGGGTGCTGCATCCCCAGGGACCGGCTGCAGGTTCTCTCGGCCACAGTTGCCTCATCTATAACATGGGGACACCAATCTATACCAACCATGGTGCAGAGGATTGCATCAGATCATTCTCAGGTCTCAATTTAAGAAATATCAATTAGGGCCGGGCGCGGTGGCTCAAGCCTGTAATCCCAGCACTTTGGGAGGCCGAGGCGGATGGATCACGAGGTCAAGAAATCGAGACCATCCTGGTCAACATGGTGAAACCCCGTCTCTACTAAAAACAAAAAATTAGCTGGGCACGGTGGCGCGTGCCTGTAATCCCAGCTACTCAGGAGGCTGAGGCAGGAGAACTGCCTGAACCCAGGAGGCAGAGGTTGCCGTGAGCCGAGGTCGCGCCATTGCACTCCAGCCTGGGTAACAAGAACGAAACTCCGTCTCAAAAAAAAAAAAGAAAGAAAGAAAGAAAAAAGAAATATCAATTAAATGCCCATCAGGTACAGAGCCCAGGGCTAGGTACTAGAGATTTAAGTGCAAATGTAAAAAGGATATAGTTTATGCTCTCAATAAATACAAAGTCAAACAGAAGAGATTGGAATTTTTTCTTTTTCTTTTTCTTTTTTTTAGGGGACTGAGTCTTGCTCTGTCAACAGGCTGGAGTGCAGTGGCGTGATCTTGGCTCACCGCAATCTCCACCTCCAGGATTCAAGTGATTCTCCTGCCTCAGCCTCCCAAGTAGCTGGGACTACAGGCGCGTGCCACCATGCCCAGCTAATTTTTGTACTTTCAGTAGAGACGGGGTTTCACCATGTTGACCAGGATGGACTCGATCTCTCAACTTCGTGATCCACCCGCCTCAGCCTCCCAGAGTGCTGGGATTACAGGCATGAGCCACCATGCCTGGCTGAGATAGGAATTTTAAAAATAGACCCACAGCAAGGTGAAATAAAGTAGATGTGAAGTAAGAATATTAATACTTGTTTTACCTACCTCGTAAGGTTGTGCCAAGAATTAAATGAGGTCATGGATATCAAGTATTCTTAAAGCACTATGCAAATGTAAACAAGTGGTAAGATATTATTTGGCTTTGTGGGAGATACCATTTGGGGTGTCTGCCTGAATCTCCCTTTTTTTCCCCAAGAACTGCTCCTATAGCCAAATCCACATAACAGTGGTGTGCCCCTCCTCAGGTGCCATTTTGATTGACTGAGCCAGGTGTAGACCCCTGGCCCGTGCTGAGCCACTTAGATTCCCTGCTCTGAATTAGGAATGGGAATGAAGTGGCTGTCTCAGTCACTCTGGGCTCTTGAGTAGAGGAGATACAAATCCTGGAGGCTTAGAAAGCTATTTTCTAAGTGGACTGAAAATTTGAAACTACCAAATTGAGCTGGGCGTGGTGGCTCACACCTGTAATCCCAGCACTTTGAGAGGCCGAGGCGGGTGGATCACATGAGGTCAGGAGTTCGAGACCAGCCTGGCCAACATGGTGAAACCTCATCTCTACCAAACACACAAAAAATTAGCCGGGCGTGGTAGCGGGTGCCTGTAATCCCAGCTACCCAGGAGGCTGAGGCAGTAGAATCTCTCGAATCCAGGAGGTGGAGGTTGCAGTGAGCTGGGATGGCGGCATTGCACTTCAGCCTGGGCAACAAGAGCAAAACTCCATCTCAAAAAGATTAAAAAAAGCAGCCGGGCGCGGTGGGTCAAGCCTGTAATCCCAGCACTTTGGGAGGCCAAGGCGGGTGGATCACGAGGTCAAGAGATCAAGACCATCTGGTCAACATGGTGAAACCCCGCCTCTACTAAAAATACAAAAAATTAGCTGGGCACGGTGGCACGTGCCTGTAAACCCAGCTACTCAGGAGGCTGAGGCAGGAGAATTGCCTGAACCCAGGAGGCGGAGGTTGCGGTGAGCCGAGATCGCACCATTGCACTCCAGCCTGGGTAACAAGAGCGAAACTCCGTCTAAAAAAAAAAAATGCATCCAGAGAAAGCTTGTAGACGTTCGGAGAAGAATGAAAACAAGACGCTCCCCTTCATTCAAGCCTTGGTTCCCATCTGTCCCTGCCTGTTGTAAACAATATCTCACCAAGGGCCAGCTTTTGCTAAGCTCTGGTGGGCTTCAATTACCATTAAACAGTTTCTAAGCTAATTCTGCTCAGGCTAATGTAGAGCAGAAGTCCCCCCTTGGCCCATGTAACAGCTGTGTCATCATTCATTTACTCATTCCATCAGTCAATGAGTATCATTGAATGCCAGCTGTTTACAAGCTTGTAAGAAGAGGAAGAAAAAATGTTGGCTGCAATCTTTAAAATATAAACCAGTCACTGGATGTCAGCCTTCTGGCCAACTGGCTCCCAATGCTCCTGAAATTACCCAGTTGTGCTCTGAGAGCATTTTGGGGTCATCTGACATAGCTCTCTTCCTGAGAAGTTCTAGAGCCTTGGACACCATGGTGTTTTCCCATCAGCCCTCCTCCTCTGGTTACAGCCACTAAACCCCACTCACACACACTTTTGGGAGCCACCTCACCCCCTTCCATGTTCTTCTGGTGAGACTTTAATCACATGACCCCTCCACTGACCATAGACTGGGTGGACTTAGGTCCTAAACTGGGCAACAGATTCACTTTCTGGGGACTTTGAACTTTGAGCTCAGACGCAAATTCAGAGGGCAGTTGGAGCCAGGCCATCCGTGGCAGCACCACATAGAAAAGCTTCAGCCCTGCTGAGATCACGGTGCCTGGTCCCTGGATTCAGTTGTTCAGTTGTTCCTTTAAATCTGTAGCCACCCCAGATTTTCATCACTTACAAAATAAATACCTTTTGAACCAAATTAGCCAATCAAGTATTTGTAACCAAAGAGTCTCTGCTTTTTCAGATAAAAGCTCATGGATGAATGAAGAAAAAGGTAGTAAAGGAAAGTTGTGTCCCCTGCCCAAGCCTATAGCCCAGCCTAGCTCCTATTTTAAGACCCTTTAATGAATCTATATTTACCATGAGGTTTTTATTTATGGAAATCTACACAAGGCATTTGGATGAAGGCTGAGGCTTATTTCAGGAAAGCAAGTCTGTTGTTTCAACAAAACCTCTGTTAGCTCCCTCCACACCTGTTCTCTCTTCTGCCAAGCTACCTATTGCTCATTTCCAAAGCAAAAAAATAAAATCAGGACTCAGATTCCAAAGCAGGATAAAAGTGGTGACTAAAAAGACAGGGTAGAGTCAGGTGGCTCATGCCTATAATACCAGCACTTTGGGAGACCAAGGTAGGATTGCTTGATGACAGGAGTTCGAGACCAGCCTGGCAACATAGTAAGACCCTGTCCCTATTTTTAAAAAATCAAAATAAAGAGATAGGCCTATATTTTTTGTTATTAATTTTTCTTTTTTTTAGACAGAGTCTCACTCTGTCGCCCAGGCTGGAGTGCCGTGGCACGATCTCGGCTCACTGCAACCTCTGCCTCCCAGGTTCAAGTGATTCTCCTGCCTCAGCCTCCTGAGTAGCTGGGATTACCTTATAAGTTTTCTTAATGAGCATTATGTATTTCTGTTCAACACAGGTCCCTCATGAAAATGTCTTCCTAATATTATAGAAGTTTCCTCCCGGAGAGAGATCCAAAATCACCACCATGGTTTTGCCAGTGCCCCAGCATGGCAGTTCTTGGTGCAGAGTAAACAGGACTTGGTCTCTTTTTGGTTAACGTTTGGAGCTCTGGGAAGGCAGAGTAGCCTACTCAGCTGATTGAAAAAGGGACTCAAGAAGGAAGCCAGACCAGAGATTCCCAGGCAGGAAAGCACCACAAATCTTAACGCAGCTGTTTTAGCCAGGGCAGTGGGTTTCTCAGATTCCTGCACTGGGAATCAACAAGTTGGACGTCCACTCAGAGACCTAATTTGAAAGTCAGTAATTACAAAGACGACAGGTGGATAAATTTACAATGATGGGAAGAAACCAACATAAAAAGGCTGGAGAATACCCCAAATCAGAATGCCTCTCCCTCTACAGGGGATCACAAGGACCACAAGTTCCTCATCAACAAGGGAACAAGGCCTGATGGAGAATGAGTGCATTCCATTAATAGATTTAGGCTTCAGAAGGTGGATAATAAGAAACTTCTGTGAGTTAAAAGAACATGTTCTAGCCCAATGTAAAGAAACTAAGAACCTTGAAAAAAGGTTTGATGAAATCCTAACGAGAATAGACAATTTAGAGAGGAATATAAGTGAATTAATGGAACTGAAGAATACAATACAAGAACTCCGCAAAGTATGCACAGGTTTTAACAGTCAAATTGATCAAGCAGAAAAAAGGATATCAGAGGTTGAAGAGCAACTTAACGAAATGAAATGAGAAGACAAGGTTAGAGAAGAAAGAGTAAAAAGGAATGAGCAAAGTCTCCAAGAAATATGGGACTATGTGAAAAGACCTAATTTACGTTTGATAGGTGTACCTGAATGTCACGAAGAGAATGAATCCAAGCCAGAAAATATTCTTCAGGATATTATTCAGGAAAACTTTCCTAACCTAGAAAGGCAAGACAATACTCAACTTCAGGCAATACAGAGAACACCACAAAGATATTCCTCAAGTAGAGCAACCCCAAGATACATAATCATTAGATTCATCAGGGTTGAAATAAAGGAGAAAATTCTAAGGGTGGCTAGAGAGAAAGGTCAGGTTACCCATAAAGGGAAGCCTATCAGACTCACAGCAGATCTCTCAGCTGAAACCCTACAAACTAGAAGAGAGTGAGGGTCAATATTCAATATCCTCAAAGAAAAGAATTTTCAACCCAGAATCTCATATCCAGTCAAATTAAGCTTCATAAATGAAGAAAAAATAAAATTTTTCATAAACAAGCAAGCACTCAGAGATTTCATCACCACCAGGCCTGCTTTACAAGAGCTTCTGAAAGAAGCACTATACACAGAAAGGAACAACCAGTATCAGTCATCCAAAAACTTAACAAAAGGTAAAGAGTATCTCCAGAATGAAGAATCTATATCAACTAATGGGCAAAATAGCCAGCTAGCATTAAACGACAATATTAAACTCACAAATGTCAATATTAATCCTAAATTTAAATGGATTAAATGCCCCAATCAAAGACACAGACAGGCAAATTGAAAAAAAAGGCAAAACCCATCGGTTTGCTGTATCCAGATCCATCTCATAAGCAAGGACACACAAAGACTCAAAACAAAGGATTGGTGGAAGAGTTACCAATCAAATGGAGAGAAAACAAAACAAAACAAAACAAAACAGGAGTTTTAACTTTTGTCTCTGATGAAATAGACTTTAATAGTAACAAAGACTAAAAGAAACAAAGAAGGACATTACATAATGTAATGGTAAAAGGATCAATGCAACAACAGGAGTCAGTGATCATAAATATATATGTACCCAATATAGGAACACCCAGATACATAAGACAAGTTCTTAATGACTTATAAAGAGACTTGGACTCCCACACAATAATAGTGGGAGACTTTGACACCACATTGTTAATATTCGACGGATCAATGAGACAGAAAATTAACAGGGACATCTGTGATTTGAACTCAGACCTGAAACAAGTAAACTCAGTGAATATTTATAGAATTCTTCACCCCAGGTCCACAGAACATACATTTTTCTCAGTATCACATTATACCTATTTTGAAAGTGACCACATAATTGGACGTAAATCACTCTTCAGCATTTGCATAGCATTTCACAGACTTAAATAAAATATTGGTTGGCTGTTATTTTCTTCCCTTATTCCTTCCTGTCTCTGCTGTTAAGCACAATTATCGGCATAAAAGAGGTTTTTAATACCTATTTTTAGATTGCATTCTGGCCTGGGCAATAGAGCAAGACTCCTGTTCTCTCTCCCCCTTTCTCTTTCTCTTTCTATCTTTCAAAAAAAAAAAAAGAAGTTTCCTCCCAAAGTAATATTCATAGAATTATAAATAATAGGCCAGTAATACAACTAACTAATAGCAGATCTTGGACCAGAACTCAGGTCTTAGTAGCACTAAATCAGAGTTCTTTCCACTGTTCCATGCCTCCTTTCACAATAGAATTTGCTTAAATATTATTTGAAAATGTCTTCATTATAATGATTTTATTTATGTGTATATCAGTGTTTCTTTGAACAAGAAATATTTGACAAAGAATCTGGATACAGAAATTTTAAGTATTCATTTCCACTGCTAGTCAAGACCTATAAATTATGTAGATTATATGTCACTAGGGACAGAAAATCCAAATAACACAATTTAATGCACATCCAAATATTAACTAAATATTATTCATCAGAACAAAATGAGTTAGGGAATGAGAGAGAAAGATCTTGTCTCTCCCCCACTGTTACATTACACCAGAGTTTTAGCCCCTGGGTATTGTAGTGGTCTTACCACACCTGTACAGGCCTCAGCTTCTAAAGTTTCATCAGGCTGGGCATGGTAGCTTACACCTGTAATCCCAGCACTTTGGGAGGCTGAGGCGGGCTGATCACCAGAGGCCAGGAGATCAAGACCAGCCTGGCCAACATGGCAAAACCCCATCTCTACTAAAAATACAAAAATTTAGCCAGTAGTAGTGGTGCGCAACTATAAACCCAGCTACTCGGGAGGCTGGGGCATGAGAATTGCTTGAACCCAGGAGGTGGAGGCAGTTGCAGTGAGTGGAGATCTTGTCACTACACTCCAGCCTGGGTGGCAGAATGAGACCCTCTTTTTTTTTTTTTTTTAAAGACAGGGTTTCACCATGTTGGTCAGGCTGGTCTTGAACTCCCCATCTCAGGTGATCCACCCGCCTTGGCCTCCAAAATACTTGGATTACAGGCATGAGCTACCATGCCCAGCCTTTTTTTCTTATTTCTTTTCTTTCTTTTTTTTGAGACCCTGTCTCAAAATTTTTTTAAAAAAAGTTTAATCAGTGTGTTACACTCATATACACAGGTACTGTTTTTCAAAGCTCATTCAAAAAGTGCTAGGTAACTAGGCCAGGAACAGTTTCCAGCCTAACGCACTTTACCCATTCCAGCCTTTCCAATATAATAACCTCAGTGCTGGTGTTCAGACAAATTGCCATTCTAGTTAACTCTTGTCATCAGGTTAAGTTACCCCTTGGGGAGCCTTGATGTCCCTTTCTGCCTCCTGGACTTGGTTGGAATCATCTTTTTTGAGATGAAGCCTCACTCTCTCACCCAGGCTGGAGTGCAGTGGCACAACCTTGGCTCACTGCAACCTCCACCTTCCAAGTTCAGGCAATTCTCCTGCCTCGGCCTCCTGAGTAGCTGGGATTACAGGCATGCGCCACCACACCCAGCTAATTTTTGCATTTTTAGTAGAGATGGGGTTTCATCATGTTGGTCAGGCTGGTCTCAAACTCCTGACCTGGTGATCTGCCCGCCTCAGCCTCCCAACGTGCTGGAATTACAGGTGTGAGCCACCACGCCCAGACAGGTTGGAATCATCTTAGGCAATGAAAGTATCAAATAATGTTAAACTACAAGAGCTGTAGCCTGGGTATTAGATCCCTTTCATTTAATTAGGGTCCTTGGATCCAAAAACACGTTTCTCCAACCTCTTTCAAAGTCAAGTACATACCAGGGATTAGACCAAGCCTTAGCCATGAAACTGGCCCTGTTTGCTTCATTCCTCCAGGAAGATGGGCCACCACTTGCTTTAACTTTGCATTGCTAAAGAGCCAACTCAGACAATTCTTGCAAAACAAGGTCTGCCCCCCAGGTCCTTTGCTGTACACATCCTAGACACTGGCTTCAGCAGTGTCAGACCTTGAACCTCTTTAAAAGGGCAGCTTCTCTCTCTAATGAATTAGTCAAAATTTTTACCTTGTTTTACCTTGTTTTGGCCTTTCTACCCAAGAATCAGCAGTTTAATAGTTTCATCATTTATCATACACGTAGAGCACTGCACTAGGAGGAAAAGATAGAAGTAAGATACAGGCTTTCGCCAAGACGAGTGGTCAAGAGATCAAGACCATCCTGGTCAACAAGGTGAAACCCCATCTCTATTAAAAATACAAAAATTAGCTGGGCATGGTGGTGCGCGCCTGTAGTCCCAGCTACTCAGGAGGCTGAGGCAGGAGAATTGCTTGAACCCAGAAGGCGGAGGTTGCAGTGAGCCGAGATCATGCCATTGCACTCCAGCCTGGGTAACAAGAGTAAAACTCCGTCTCAAAAAAAAAAAAGATACAGGCTTTCCCAAATGAAAAGGATAAAGGCCAGGCAAGACTGCTGCAGCAATCCCAGCAGACCTCTGCCAAATATGACAGGAGCACCAGGAGAGAAGAAGGTAAACTGAGACGGTCAGGAGAGAAGAGGCAGTAATCAGTAGTAGGAAGACTGCTGGAGAGCAACCTGACACTGTCTATTTAAGGACAGCCTCAACAGAGAAACCTTATTAGCCAAAGCTATCAAAACTTTTCACTCCCACTCAACTACATATAGAAACATCCTACAAAATAATTTTTTCAACACACCCCTTTGAAATACATGGTAACATTCCCATTTGAAGTGCAAAATGATAGTGGTGCATACAGTAAGTGACTTGCCAGTTATTACAGGGCAAGGTGGTGAAAACATCAGAAATGAGTTCTTAGATGCTTACTGGAACTGTCTTAGATTTCACACACTCAGGTGAGTGTTGCAGTTATCTATGACTACCTAAGACGCCTCTCCAGAACTCAGCCACTTAAAACAACAACCATTTATTTGTTCATGATTCTGTAGCTGGGGTTGTGCTCACCTGGGCAGTTCTTCTGCTGGTCTAACCTGGAGTGACTCATGAGTTTGAAGTCATCTGGTGAATTGACTGGAGCAGGATGATCTAAGATGACCTCACTAACAGGACGGGGCCTCAATGCTAGCTGTTAGCTGTTCCTCTCAGGTGATGTCATTCAGGAGCCTGGTGCTGCAGGAACACGTGATGGAAGGGCCCTAGTGGAAGCTGCAAGGTTTCTCAGGCCGAGCTTCCCTTTTTCCTTCCATTCCCCTCTCTTTCTTCCTCCTGCTCTCCTTTTATCCCTGGAGCACACTCAGAGGAAAGGCCATGTGAAGACAGGCCATCTGCAAGCCAGAACTGTGAAAAAATACATTCCTGTTGTTTAAGCCACAGACTCTGTGGCTTTTTGTTATGGTGCCTGAGCAAACGAATAGAGGTCGCGTACAGTGCCGGGGCTATTGCAAATGAAGCTAAAATGAACACTTGTATACAAGTCTCTGTGTGGAGATATGCTTTCATTTCTCTTGAGTAACTATCTAGAAATGGATTGGCTGGGTTACATGGTACATGTATGTTTCCTTCTTAAAGGAACTGTCAAACTATTTTCCAAAGCAGCTGTATCATTTTGCATTCCCATCAGCAGTGTATGCGACTTCCAGTTGCTTTACATCACAGGGTCTGGTCAATGTTTATAATTTTAACCATTCTGGTGAATGCATAATGGTATCTCATTGTGGGTTTAATCTGCATTTCCCTAATGAATAATTTTTTTTTTTTTTTCTGAGACAGGGTCTCACTCTGTTGCCCAGGCTGGAGTGAAATGGTACTATCATGCTCACTGCAGACTCAACCTCCTAGGCTCAGGTGATCCTCCCACCTCAGCCTCCTGAGTAGCTGGGACTGCAGGTGTGCACCACCACACCCAGCTGATTTTTTGTGTCTTTTATAGCGAGGGTTTCACCATGTTGCCCAGGCTGGTTTCAAACTCCTGGGCTCACGCGATCCATTCACCTCAGCCTCCCAAAATGCTGGGTTACAGGTGTGAACCATGGAACCTATTGGCTAATGTTGTTGGTCATCCTTTCATGTACTTATTTGCCATCTCTATATCTTCTTTAGTGAAGGGTTGTTTCAAATCATCTTCCCCTTGTATTATTGGTTGAGAGCTAATTAAATGTAAATTCAAATAAGTGTAAGCATAGAGAGCTGGACACAAAATCCTACTGTCCATCCAGGTTGGGCAGGACTGGTTAAGAAGACCAGAACATCCAGGAGGCGTCTGTGGACATTGAAAATTTGGAGGAGGTCTCGTAGGGGTGGAAGGAAAAGTGGTCAGCCTGAAAATAAATCCTACCACTTCACAGTTTGTCTAAGTTTAGCCTGAGGCCCCCCTAACAGTTTTCTCACCATTAGCACTGAATTCCAGCCCCCAGCTGCTCTGAGAGCCCCAATTTCACCACGCTTTCTGTGGGAGTTTCCTGGTTCAGGAGTTGCACCACCATATGTCACTCTGGCCTGAAGAAGTTTGCCAAGTTTGTAGACAAATACAGAGACACCCACGAGAAGTGCTTAGATAAGATTTGGCCCAGAGTCTTGTCTGGGGGCAGAGCTGAGAGGAAAGCGATGTCTAAAACACGTTTCACTAACAGGAGGTCTTTAGAAAGGAAGGATGGAGAGAAAGGACTGAGGAGAGATAGGAGAGAGGACGTGAGGGAACAGCTGTGCTCTGATCAAGGACACTGTGTTCAGCCATGGGTATCTCCAAGCCGGAAAGAGATAAGTGGGAGAGAGTCCAGGAAAGAGCAAGATAAATGATTAAGGAACAGAGAAGCTGATTTATGAAGCTGATCTAATAGGAGAAGTCACCGAAGCTTGTTCATTTAACAAAATGTAACAGAAGCAAAATTTCCATCTGAGCCTGAAAGGCAATGGGAGTACACACATAAAAGATGCGGAAAATAGCAAGTGTACGAGTCAGCTTGTCTAGCAAACCCATTAAGTAAAATGAGCATAAT